TTTGCCAGAACTCCTTGATAAAACCATCTTCTTTGGCCCTGAAAATATTTCTTCCCAGAAGAAATTGTTGAAATCTCGGGAGTATATTTGAATGACTTGCGAAGGCTATAGCACCTTGAAAGACTTCAAAATCCCATTGCGTATGAAAGTTAAAAGCTATAATATCAATTTGGGCTGACATAATCCACACTTTACCTTTAGGATTAACTGTCGCTGGGATGTATAGGAATGTTCTCCAAAGGATTATGGCCTGGATTTCTCCATAAAACACCAGTACATTCGCTTTTCTCTTCATAATAACTTCATATATTCCTTGAAGCAAGTCTGCTGTATTCAAAGCTTCAGAGATAAAAGTGAACCTAGGGAGTCTGTCAATGAAGTCAAAACAAATGCCCTTCTGTAAAAATAACGGGAGTGCAATTTGCAAAAATCTTTCTCCATCATCATCATCCACAGCAAGGATGCTAATCCAGATCCACCTGAAATGCAGAAGTAACTGCAGAATCCCCATATATTGATGGGCTTCCTTGGGGGCCATCTGGAAAGTGGGGAAAACTTGGGTTTTCTCACTCATTGCTGAAGTAGAGCCATACGAAAGCTAATGATGAAAGTGAGGAGGAGAGAAAAAGGAAAAAGTGGCGGAGAGAGTCAGAAAAACATTAAGAATGCGAAATGAAATCTCATTCTGTGTGTGCCACTAATAATAAGAGTTGTTATCTGGAACGTTTTGTTCAATATTGGTTCAATATTGGTTTGGATAATACGATCAGTTTTGGTTAAGCAAAAATGTCTATGATAGCATCCAGATTCCTACTTTCATCAGCTGTCCTGGAGGAAGAGAGGTGTGTGTACAAGCCTGAAGTTCACCTAGGCTTGTTCATCTTATGAGGAACAGAAGGGAGAACATGGGACTTGCAGTCTATCAAGTTACACAGGGGAGCTGGTCACTGACTTATTGGTTATCATTTTATTTCTTTGATAGTAATTGTGTCTCAATTTACATCTATACATGCACACTAATTCAAATCAGTGTCATCTTTGCGCTTCTCCTTTTTCGGGGGCAACAAATACACTCTTGTTTCAAACCCCCATAACCAAATTGTAAAAAGCAAGCAAATGGTGAAATTTGTTAACATCCTCTTTTTTTCTTACCTGTGAAATCTTGTAGATTTGCAGGATGCTTGCAATGTGTAGAGAAGTTTCAGAGCTAAGTCCCCCAACGACAGCGACCAGATTACTCTGAGTGTCACATTTGTAGTTGGGCTTAAATCTGTTCAGTGTGGAAAGAAACTCAATGGTTGCATGACAGGTCCACATCGCACTGAAATAGCTGTCATAGATGTGGAACCCCAGGGTGGCATTGGGTAAGATCTGGCGGTTTTCATTGATCTCCTTGACTGCAAAGGCCAAGGCCAAGACATGCTGGTAATGTTTAGTCAGAAAGCTACAATGACAATGACAGGTTATCTCAAAGGGGCATTTCACTCTTGATAAAACAATTACTGCTGTTTTGCATGCCACCAAGATCGTCTGCTTTGGAGTAGGACACCAATACCACCCCATTGCTGCAGATTATTCATTTATCAGATTTATTTAAAATAGCATCTTGGACAATAATATGATGGACAAAATGGGCACACACACACTTCAAGGAAGTATGCAGAAAGAGCTGTTTCATTTTTCTGCATAACATTGGTTACATTGCATGCGTAGGTGCTTGCTGAGCCATTCATGAACATGCACATCCATGTCCAAAGGAAAGTTGAGATGCGGTCTTGATGGGGATGGGCTACCATTAGAATATTAAAATGAATTCCACCCTCACCACAAGTTTAAGTCCATGTGCTGCATTTCAAGGCAGGCACACAAGGAAGGAGCCATTCTTTGAAGAGGTTGATGCTCTGTGTAGTTACTTAGCTAAAGGAAAGGAAATGCATGTTCACCATGATTTCCTTCCACATTTCCAGAATGTAGGGTTTGTTTGTTTTTTAACTACAGCATTGTTCTTTATTACTATTTCAATGGAGGGGATACATCTCAGATGTAGCTTGGAATTCATTTTTGTGGGGAGAAACAAGACAATTAGAAATACCATTCCTGCTGCTAGTCTCCTAAACTAATGTATTTATGGAACAGCTGTAATCCAGCGGGAAGGAGCAGTGAGAGGGAGAATGAACTAAAATATTGTGCAGAAGCACTTTTTCATAGAATCATAGTGTTGGAAGGGACCCTGAGGATCATCTGGCCCAACTCCCTGTAATGCAGGAATATGCAGCTGTCCTATATGGGGACTGAACCTACAACCTTGGCTTGTCAGCACTGTGCTCTAACCAACATAGTTGGAAGGCTGGAACGCTGAACACGAGCCCTCCATACTGCTGGCACAATTTGTTGTAAGCACCACATGCCAGGTGATATATTTCCTAAAATATTCTTTACACATTTTTTCCCCTTACACAAAAGCCAATAACCAACAAGGGAGCATCCTTACACAGGTTCTCGATTCTGTTGTTGAATGGGGTCTTTTTTTGAAAGTTTTCTCTTCAGAAAGCAGGATCATTTGAGAAACAATGCCTCCGATGATGAAACCACCTGGTTGATAATATTTGTGAGGAAAAGGGATGGGTTCACTGATGGCACATTTAAGAGGATGCTGCTGGCACACTGAAGGAGGAAGCAGCGCTGCTAGCAACACTGCTAAAATCACCATGCTGAGGGCAAATTTGCGCCCTTGGCAGAAATGCCTTTGTTGTCACATTATCTCAGCCAGGTTTTGAACAGCTGCTCCTTGAGTCCTCAATTATAAAATGTAACATTACTGAGATCTGATTGATGCCCTTCTTAGCCCCTACGTCCAATTCAGAATGCAGCACATTTTAAAAATGATCATCCAGTCTTAATCACAAACTGAGCTAGTGACCACTGGAGCTTCAGGGCGACATATATTAAATTAACATTAATCACAATCATTTTGATAATTACAAAGGAAGCCAGTAATTTCCTAGTTATGGGCTCACTGTAGCACTACTGAAGAAAACATGTTTGTCACATCTCAAATCTCCTTATCCTCTTCCTATTGGCCCAGCTAAGTGTGTGTGGCAGTGGAATGACAAATGCAAGGGAAGACCATTGGAAATTTGAAAGTTTGGTCTGGAGTCAGATCAGGGTTAGCAATTTATACACTGAGGAAACTCTGTACCAGCCATCTCCAATAACTCCATCTCAACCAAATCTTGGTAAAGGGAAACTCTGCTGATTTGCAGATTCTACAGTGGTTGTTGGAGAACCTAAGACACAGTAGGATCTGCAAATCCTACAGTGCCCAGCTTAAAAGTATTGGTCAGACATTCAGAACTCTCACTATCCCTAACTCTGGTGCAAACCGTAGATTGTACTTCCCCTCCTCTGTATTGTTACTGACATCTATTTTAATTATAACCAGATACCTAGAATTAGAATTAAATACAAAAGTTACAATCAGTGGCAACTGATAACATTTTGAGTTGCCAGGCCTGCAATTTTTAACCTTCTTTTTTTCATAACGGTAGGTCTTCTAGTGCTTATTTAATATGCATAGTTCCATTGAAACAAACAAACAAACAAACAAACACTTTGTGCACATATTTGGAAAGGGGAAGACCGTCCATGTAAGTGGCCCAAGTATGATTTTCAGACAAGAGTGATTCCATATATAAAGCTTATCACAAGACATTTTTTTGAATTTGCGTATCCCTTGTCAACAAGTTAAGCACACCAATGTTTTAAAATGTGTGTGGAACATTTGCTTCCAGTTGCATGCAGTTCTCCTCCCTACCAAAATCAATTTAACTTTTCAATATCCAAAATACTTTCTCCCTCTAGATTAAAAGAACAAAAGTATTCCAACCAATAGATGGTACACTGGTTGAAAACCAATGGATTATGGCATTAGTGCAGCTAGCATGAGTTTAACATAAAGTACCGTATACCTCTTATGAAGTATCTGTGACCCTGGTACAAGCTCCTATCTAAGACATGACCTGGAAGGTATAGCAAATATCCTGACCCCTAACAGTTGCAGTAAAGATCAGCATACAAATCCTTGTATTTACCAGAAAGTTTAATTGTCACTTTCCTATATGCAGGAACCAGACTTCAGACAAACAATGAAATTCTGTTTCAAAAGTGAATTTATGAATCACACGCTTTGCTTGACCACAAACCAAGGAATGAGTGAGAGACACTGTTGCCTTGAAGGGGAGAACTTAACTTTACAAAAGGCACAGATCTCAAATCCCTCACATTGTGTTCTGCTTGTTTCTGGATCAGGAATACCCATCCCTTTTCTTTTCTTTTTCGTGGGAGTCTGTAGCACACGACGGCACTCAGTGTCTAGTTAGGGACTCTCTTTGCTCTTTAGGATTAAGGTGTCTGTACTTGCTGTATGAAGCAGCATCAATCTGCATTACCTCTTTTCATTTCCATGTAATAAACCAGTATTTCCCTACTTCCTAGTGTGACAAGTTACTTTTGTTTTTGCCAAAATGATAATTCTAGTCACATATTGACTCCACACAAAGGTACTAATCATCTTGGACCTGTGCATTGAGTTATTGTGTGTGGTGTACAAGCGTGTTTGTTCAGTCATATATCTCATTACACTCTTTTTACCTTCTGCTTGGTTATGAAGCTATCATCCCCTTCTTTTCTTCAGACCGTGGCATACCCCTGCTTTAATCTTTAACCCAATTTCCATGTCTCCCATTCCCTCCTTTTTTGCAACCCCTTTTGTTTCCCCATTTTCACATTCGCTCTCTTTTCCCTTTCACCTTCTTTCTTATCTCAACTCTTCCTTAAACACAGTTTGCCCCATTTCAATCTCGACTCTGCTGCCTGCTTTGCACATGAACTCTAGGCTTTCACTTATGTGTGTGTGGGTGGGTGGGTGAGGACCCCACTATTAGCATTCAACTCCCAACAAACTCTGTTTTTAGTATTTTTTAATTTTTTTAATTACAAACATGACAAAGGCTCATACACAAAGATGAAGGAAAATATACAGTATGGTGGTTGAGTTGGTGCCGTAAATGTACATCCATAGCAGTGGTTTTTAAAAACAAATAAAAGAAAAAGAAATGGCAAAAGCAAAGCAAAATATCCATCAGTTCAATCATGCTAGTACTGTTTCCATTATTTTACCATCCTTGTGAAGCCTGGGCATTTCATGCCAACAGTTCTTCCCTGAGAACTCTTCTTTTCTATAAGTGTTTCTTTACAAAGTTTGAAATGCTTTTCTTTAATGACTTGGGACCACTGTTTTCTGAAGCATTGCTTTTCTCTGATGGCTTTGGACCACTGTTTTCTGAAGCATTGCTTTTCTCTGATGGCTTTGGACCACTGTTTTCTGAAGCATTGCTTTTCTTTAACGACTTTGGACCACTGTATTCTTAAGCATTGCCACAATCTAAAAATGGGTACAATTTGTCCCTGGATTTAATGGGGATAGAATCCATAAGGAAACAGGCATCTCTGGAGTTATAAAATGAGATTTCCCATTTTTCTTGATCCAGTAACAAACCAATCACTGAATAAGACACATTTTGCTTCTTTTCAATCTCTTTCTCACATGGACTGGAAAAGAATTTTCCTTGGCTGCTTTTGAGAGCCCAGCAGCCTTCCTGAAAGGACTTAGCAACCTTTTTCTTTCGGAATTTGTCCCTTTCAGCCTGAGTCAGCACCCCCAGCTCCCAGTCCAACCTCTCTCCTACCTCCACCTCCCAGTAGTGTTTCCCAGCAGCATAACCTTCTTTCCCCACAAAAATCCGAGTTCCCATAGCAGTTTCTTCTTTCTCTGGGGGGAGAGTTTGAAGTCTGGCTCTTTCTTTATCCTCACTGATGCTGATTTCTGGATGTTTATAATATGAATCCAAAGTGACAGCAACTATAAGGGAAGCAATCAGAGGGAGAAAGGAAACCATGTTTAGTTCAGGAGTAGTAGATGTTTCAATCTGCTGTAGAAAACACATTTTATTTCATAGCTGACCAATTATAGTTACTGCACAACTTGGATACAGAAACTGAATTTGTTTGTCTATATAGAAATGCCAACACATTTGTGTAGGAACTCAGTACAATAAGAAGACATGGCTGTAGAGGTGTCGTCATCACCCCTTCCCCTGTTTCAGAATGTTTTTGTTTTGTTTTTAATTTTACATTGTGGATCTGTTTTCTGCCCTGGGCTCTTTTGAGATTAATTAATAATAATACACATGAGAAAGAGCTCCAGTGCTGACTTTCCTATACAGACAGCCAAATACAAAGTGCAATCCTAATGAAATCTGTTAGCTCCATTCCTCTCTGGTCCATGTCAGCTCTGCACTTTCATACAACTGGAGCAAGGATAGGACAGTTTTAGCCGCCCCGATGTTGAATTCTGATTGCCTCAGAATTCATTAAAACTATGAAAGCACAAATTGAATTAATCCATTGCTACTGTGATGTTTTCATATGAAAAAGGACCACGTGAAAAGTCACTGAGTGATGACATTTGAGTCATGTATGCACATCCATACATTAAGCCTAATTAGGACAGTTTCCTTACCTGCGTATTGCTGAGCTCTTCTAACCTCTACAAACAGAAGAGAAAATTTATCAATCATAGAGAACAGAGAAACATCTATGAAACAAGTGAACAACCCAGAATTGAATAAAGTGATTTAGACCCAATTAACATACTAGAAAACAATACTTCAGTTCAGAACAATCATTGCCTCATCAAAAGCCATCTGCCTTACCCAGCTCATTGAAGATTTGACCTGAAGTGAAAGAATATTCCAATTAGTGATATCATTGTCAAAATATATGGGGTTGTGCATCATGACAAACTTAGTCCACATCCTCAACTTATATTTATAGCATTATTATTCCATGACTACCCCTAAAGCATCCTGGGAACTGCAGTTTGTTAAGGATGCTGAGAGCTGTTAGGAGATGCCTTATAGAGCTATAATTCCCACGGTGGTTTAACCATCAATCCTCTGGAAAGTGCAGCTCTGTGAGGGGGGTAATAATAATAATAATAATAATAATAATAATAATAATTTATTATTTATACCCCGCCCATCTGGCTGAATTTCCGCAGCCACTCTGGGTGGCTCCCAATCAAGTGTTAAAAACAATAAAGCATTAAACATGTAAAACTTCCCTAAACAGGGCTGCCTTCCGATGTCTTTTAAAAATAGGATAGCTGCTTATTTCCTTGACATCTGATGGGAGGGCATTCCACAGGGCGGGCCCCACTACTTAGAAGGCCCTCTGTTTGGTTCCCTGTAACCTCACTTTTCGCATTGAGGGAACCGCCAGAAGGCCCTCGGCACTGAACCTCAGTGTCCGGGCTGAACGGTGGGGGTGGAGACGCTCCTTCAGGTATACAGGACCAAGGCAGTTTAGGGCTTTAAAGGAATAGTGGCTGTGCGTGTTTCCTCACAACTCCAAGCACCCTTAACAAGTAACAGTTCCAAGATGCTTTGGGGAAAGCCATTACTGATAAAGTGGTATAATATTGTTTTAAATGTATGGTGCAGATGTGACCTTGGTCACACTTAGGTCCTATTGAAATTAAAGTAAGAAATTAGTCATGGTGACCTATTTGTCCCATTGATTTAAAGGTGGACTAAGTGCAACTAACCTAATCTGGATCCAACCTAAGCAAAATATATTGCAGGATAAACTCATAATACTATTATATATTTGGAATTCTATATAGTACTAACTATACATGAAATAAATGTTAGCAAAAAATAATTCTGATCCAAATTGCAAAATACAGTACTTTCTCCTACCAAAATGCATGCCACCATCCTACTCCTTCCTTATTAATTCAATCCCTAATCCCTGCCTCCAAATCCATACATCAAATTTTGTCTCACCAACACGGCGTTCCAATTCACAAACACCTATAAAAGAATGACTTGAATTAGAACAATGAAGAGTTAAGAAAATGAACGAGAAGAGGCGAATGACTAAGATGTGAGGTCAAGCTACACAACTGAAAATCCATATAGGTCCTATGTTGCTTTCAGTGCATACTAGATGCAAAACCCACAGTGCTGCTCCCTGTGACCCCCCATGACCCCTTGTTCCTTGCCACTGCCAGGCATCCACCCCCTGGTCCTCACCACTGCTGGCTGTTCATCTCCTCCTTCCCCACTGCAGCCATGTCCCTCCTATGTGTATCATGAAAGCTGTTATTATCACATATAAACTTTTATGATAATGAGTTATTTCACTGCCCCAAGAACAATGAATGATTCATCAGCACAACATCCAGTAAAGTTATTTCTTTAGCAATCAATAGGTGGGCCTGTTCCCCATGCTCTTTATTCTACTAGGTACATGGATTTGTTTATTTCATTTTCTATTTTTTAAATAATTTTTATTATTTAAATTTATTATTTTTATTTTCTATTTTGAAAATAATTTTTATTAAAGATTTTCTTGGGTTATAAAAGTAGGTGCATTGTCTCTATTTTCAGGTCACAGAGTCATTTTGAGATGTATATCCAACCCTTCCTCCCAAATGCCTATCTGGAGATCGGGAAGAGAGAGAAACCCCAAGGGCTCTCTCAGTGCCAACCCAAGTCTGCTGCTGGCCTTTGGTTGTGTATCAAGGAGCTGGTAAGAAAGGCTCACATAAGTGCAGGAAAGAAGCTTGCAGTTTATCAAAGACTATGGGCACTTTGTGGCTAGTTCTTCATTCAAAGGATACTCACTTGCTTGTCCTGTGCGTTTCTCAGTTTCTACAACAATAAATGAAAAAGAGTATATCTTAGCACACATGTACCCAGCTTTTCCTTCAGTTCCTGGGATACTTGGTTTAATTTGAGCAGAACACTAGCCTGAAGCAGCCCATCCTCCATTCATCATAATTTCATAGCCTCTGTCCTCCTGCAATTGTGCAGGTTACTTTCCTATGGATACCTGTATGATGTGTGCTATTCTCATACTAACATCACTGCTCTCAAAACCACAGACAGGGAAGCAAATTTCTTTTAATTTGGTTTGTGCCCAGCACAAAACAACCCTACACTTATTTGTCCATAATTTGGAAGATTTCTTTCCCAGAAGAACTTCTCTCATATACACTGTTTTCATATATGACTGTAAAACAACAAGGCAATTTATGTGGCTTATTGTTAGCTACCTCAAACGGAAAGTCTACAGAAACTTTGCAGCAGGTATTCTTTTTAATTTTGGAAGAATTCATTCCCACTGAATGGGAAAAAAAACCCATGCCTGACAATTTCATCCAATTCTTCCAAAAATAAAGGTTAAAGACCAAAAGGGGAAATAAGCAAAGTAGAAGTTTTACACCGAGCACAGAGGACAAAAAACAAAAACAAAATCAAAACAAAATCTTGGACCTCTTTGCCTGTAATTTGGCAGCTGTTATTCCCTCTGGAAGCACTGGCTGTGCTCCATTGGCTGTGCTCCAAAAGGCATGTTATGGGTCTGCCCAGAGGCTCACATGGGAGAGAGAGGAAAGTGATGACCACTTCAGTTCACCAGCCAAGCTGTAGCCATGGGCAGAGGGGGGAGGCAGTGGGGAGAGAAATTGGGCTGCAATCCTGCTGGGGTGGAAACGGCTCTTCCTGACTTAGCTTCTGCATGAGAGAGTTCTATCTAACAGTGGATCTGAAAAAAGCAGGAGGCAGAAGGTGGCTTTTGGCAGATCTACCGTGAAAATTACTGGAGCCAGTCAATGCTTCAGTTGTGACCATACATAGGCAGTGGCAGGGCTTACCCACAATGTTTTACCGCTTGAATTCCTGGTACATTATAAGTCACACGTTTAAACCAGAAGAATACATATATTATTCTTCCTATTTTTACCCCCCCCAACATATAAACATGATTACATATCTCCTTCTCCTTGGCTTCCTCTTCTCTAGCTAATGGATCTAGTTCATCCTTTCCTTTCTTGATATATCTGGAAGACCCTTATCAGCCCAACTCCAAGTTGTCAGCATTATGGAATGCCTTCAGTTTGAAATGCCTCTTGCACTTGTCAATTTGAACATGGTTCCAGGAATAAAACATCATAGCAATATGAAATGCCTAGACAGGAGATGAATCGATGAACCTATACTGCAGAAAATTGGGCTTTTGAAATCTTGCAAGGATAGAAGAAATCCTTCCTATATATAAAAGGGAGCTTGAGAAAAGGGAAACAATCTGATCTTACCTATTGCTTTGGTTACATGATTTCGGTCTGAAAAGAGTGATAGCAAAATGTTAGTCATACACACTCTATACATACATGTAAGTATGATTAATCAAGAATTTACTTCCACAAATATAGCTAAAGGGGTATCTTTTGTGGGGAGAGTCCCTTCTACTACTCTGCCTGTTAGTTACTATTGCCAACACAACTACTATTAATAATACAAGTTATGGTATATAAAGCATTAGCTTGACAAGGTATCTTGAGGATGTGACAGGATTATTTCTTCCTTGCTCAACTCAACCCAACCTCTACTATGAATAGTTTCAGTCACCAAGGCTACTGTATGACCATCCACTCATATAGCTATTCCAGCACATTAAGTTTTTCCAGGTAATAAGAGCGTTTATTTATTTATTTAAAAATTCTGGGCTCACTCATTTATTGTGGTTAAAATTTTGCTATCTTTCTCCTGCTCCTCTTTATTGGGCTTTTAAAAAAGTGTTACTGTTAGTCACCCTGAAAACAATACTGATGGGGGGAGGCATATGCTAAAAATATAAACAATTATGGAACAGTAGTATAGAAGATGTGCATCTCTCTTAGAGGCATTTACCAGCTTGTGCTTTAATCTTCTGTTTTTCTGCAGAAAACAAGATGCATTGCAACATTATTCATTTATTTACTGAACATTATATGCTGCACTGTATCTGTTTAGAAAGATGTGCAGACCACTTAATCATAAAGCTTTTAAAGTGATGCACACACTGAAACAATTGGTAAAACTCAGCTAAACTCAGTTAAAACCCACAAGACTGATTAAAAAGTATACAAAAGATAAATATCACTGAAACAGAGCATAGATAACTACGTAAATATATATCTGGGGAGACTTGCTGAAATAAAGAAGTTTGTGGCACCTGTAAAAGTGTAGGTTCTGCGGACTGAAACATTCAAATTGGCATGTAAAGTGGTTCCAAATTGTTAATGGCTTTTCATACTAATAGTAATACCTTCAACTTAGCTTAGTAACAAAGTTGCAGCCAGTGCAGCCAGTATTGCAGCATTCTGCACTGACTGCAGTTTCCAGATCAACCACAAGAGAAGTCCTGTATAGAATGAATTACTAGGGTCTTGGCATTTCCAATGACTGAACTCTTGTGGTCAAGCTATCACAGTTCAGGAATGATTCTTGCTGTGGCACCTGCCCAAGGTGATAAAAGGCACTCCTAGCCACCAAGGTCACCAGGGATTCAAGTGGCAATATTTAAGGCAGGTGTCATCTCCAGAAACAGAAAGCATGCATTTAATGCTTCTCTCCAAAACAACCAGAAATTAATTGTAGCCATTGTGGATTCCCCCACTTCTTGGTTACATCTAACAAATCATAATCAAATTAGACTCACTATAATCAGCGATCTTATTTCAATTGGTCCTACAGCTCTCAGCAGGAAGATGATGTCTGAGCATGACTTCATCTACCAGACCCTGTTTTCCAAGGACGCCCTGATTTAGAGAAGTCGTCCCAGTTTCTGATTTGATCTCAGAGTGTCCCACTTTTCCTTAGGTTGTCCCCATTTTCATTGGAGAAATGTTAGAGGGTTTGGAGTTATTTGACTCCCAAGCTGTCTGAAGGCAATCCTGTATAGTTTTTTTTTTTTAATGTTTAATTTTTTATTGTGTTTTTATATATGTTGGAAGCTGCTCAGAGTGTCTGGGGTATAAATAGTAAAATTATCATTATGGAATGGGACATCCCTATTTTCATCAGAGAAATGTTGGAGGGTATGATTTTAATTGTCCATCACTTAGAGACATCTTTGATACTCAAAATGTATCTTGACTGCCCGTCATCAGAAGATCAGATAGCAAAAGTGTGAATATAACTAATTTACAGAAAATATGAATACAATTTTAAATCAACAAATAATCATTTTAAAAGGCAAATGAAACCCCAGAAAAGCTAAATAACAGAATATTCCATGGTTAGTCATAGTTGAATAATAGGGCTTGATGCTCTGTAGAGGTGGAATTTGTTTTCATCCAAGGAAAGAAAAATAGATGCGCCAGGGAATTTGATTATGATTCTTTATACCTCTCGCAATAACATTGTAGTGAACTCCCCATCCCTTACATAAATGATATGTATAAAATATGTCATTGTCAGTTACTCACCATACTGAGATAACTTCTGATAATTCTCTGAAATAAATATAGCAAATTATAGAAATCAGACAATTTATTTATCTGACAGTCCTTATTTCTCTTAATACACACATCTTGGAAGGCTATTTCTTTTAATATGATGCATTATTTTCACTAATACAGTGGTACCTTGGGTTACAAACGCTTCAGGTTACAAACACTTCAGGTTACAAACTCCGCTAACCTGGAAGTAGTACCTCGGGTTGAGAACTTTGCCCCAGGATGAGAACGGAAATCGCACGGCAGCAGTGGGAAGCCCCATTAGTGATAGTGCGCCTCAGGTTAAGAACGGTTTTGGGTTAAGAATGGACCTCTGGAACAAATTAAGTTTGTAACCCAAGGTACCACTGTATATGCATTTTTTGTGTATACTTTCCCCTAATATATTTCAGGTTGAAAAAATGAATCACAAAATTCAATAAATTTGCATTTTGGTTCGCGTCCTGGTTTGCTGAGTCCAACATAGGTAGAACCACATTAAAATGTAAACTGCACTAAATTTGCCAACTACGGTATCTGTTGGGGAAGTGACTCTGATTGCCTGAAGCAGCTTTTAAACTATGCTCATTTTAAGGCAGTTTAAGGAGCAATTACTGGCTGTAGTAAATACGTATTGATTTAACTGGTATGTTCCCTATTTCTTCTCTGCATCTAAGAACACATCACTCATTTTAATAAACAAGGGTACAAAAAACCAGAAAGTTTCTGTAACAGTTCACAGCTACAGTTTAATGGGATTATGAAAATGACAGATTTAATACTTACGTCTGACTTTGTACCCAGCACCAGCAAGAAGGCAGATGAAAATCAACAGAATGATTAGGAAGGGTGCTAGCCAAGGGGAAGTGGCAGGGTAAAGGGCATCTGAAACACACATTAAAATCTCAGTTACAGCAAAACTAACCCAACCGGTTTCAAGTTGCAAAACTAACCAGAGTCTGACTTTGCCACTCACCTTCATTGCCCCAAATTCTCCTGAACTTCCCATTTTGGGAGGAATTGAGCTGGAGTTGTGGCAATAGGGGTGCTTCAGCTGTGACCTGCCTGCCTCTCTGGTGAATAGTGGATATGGGAACCAGAAGACACTTTAGCCATTACCCCAGATTATAACTGATGAAATGCTGCTGAGCAGAACTACAGTTCTGGATAATCTGGATAATCTGTTCAAACAAAGAGCCTTGTGTACTTCAGACGCATTAAAATTGAATTAATTTCCCAAACCTCTCTCTTCCTATATAGTAAAGGTAAGGTAAAGGTAAAGGTACCCCTGCCCGTACGGGCCAGTCTTGACAGACTCTAGGGTTGTGCGCTCATCTCACTCTAGAGGCCGGGAGCCAGCGCTGTCCGCAGACACTTCCGGGTCACGTGGCCAGCGTGACGAAGCTACTCTGGCGAGCCAGAGCCGCACACGGAAACGCCGTTTACCTTCCCGCTAGTAAGCGGTCCCTATTTATCTACTTGCACCCGGGGGTGCTTTCGAACTGCTAGGTTGGCAGGCGCTGGGACCGAGCAACGAGAGCGCACCCCACCGCGGGGATTCGAACCGCCAACCATGCAATCGGCAAGTCCTAGGCGCTGAGGTTTAACCCACAGCGCCACCCGCGTCCCTTGTACTAAAAACACATTGAAAACCTTTAACCTCTTGGCCCTTTTGCTTCACCCCTACTCACCAGAAATCAGGATTCTCGATTCGCTCTCCATCCCTAGCAGTTCGTTGATGATTTTGCAAGAGACTTCATGGTCAACTCCTGATTCTGTTGTAATGGAACTGGAAACACTGAAGTTCCCTGCCTTGGTCTCTGTGATTGTAGTGTCTGACTGTTTACTTCGAACTTTCCCTTCACTGACCAGCCAGAAAGCCTTGGGCTTTGGGTACCAACCGTTGGAGCGGCAGGTGAGGCCAATCCCCCAGCCTTTATAATCCACCAAGGCAATGGTGGGCTCTGTTCCTTTTGCTGCACAAGAAGAACACCACATATTAATTCTCCATCATTCCAAATATAATAGAACCTATCTAGAGTTTCTGCACTCTGACCAAACACCAGGAATGATACTTTATTACAGTCAGTTCTTACAGTACAAATTTTGTGCCAAGCTACCATTCAAAATTCCTTTTTTTGTATTGTATTGTATTGTTGAACTACAGGACGATTGGTCCTGTGAGTAACGCTCATGGCTGCGGAGAGATGGAGAAGTCTGAATGAATGAGTTACTGACCTGGGTTCTACAGTTTTAGGTTTGACAACTTGTATTTCTGAAAATCTATGCTTAATAAGGCCCACAGCACCTGGCAGTGTCCCTGCCTCCTCAGACTTGTTCAAGAAGAACATCCAGGAGTTAGGTGTAGGTGGTGGAAGCAGCAAGGCTTGGCTGCTGCTGCTATTCTTCATGTGGTCCTCTCTCTTCTGCAGCCATGCATCTTGTGCCAAGTGTCCATGCATACTCTTAACCCCATCCTCTGCTAGAACCCTGCCCACTTCCTTTTCTTCCTCTGCTCTCCCTCCCACCACAGAGCCCTGAAGAAGGTGGTTAAGTGGCAGACACACACACCCCACATACCACATATGCCAAAAAAAAAAAAAAAGCAATTGGCTTCTGTGGGCTTGAAGCCTGTAAGCTTGATGCAGAGTCTTCTAAAAACATGGTATTCCCCCAAAGGTGCTCTTGCTTACCTGGAGATTCAAGTCCTCTTTCTGCACCCTGGAGTGGGGCAGGCAAACCTAGAGACTCCAGGTCAGCCCCAGAAATTTGGCAACCCTAATAATAAGACTAATAAGAATAAACTCACCTGCCAAAACCAACTCAACCACCACCTCCTCATACCAGTCTCCAAGGAAGACTATACAGGTGTAATTTCCTTGGTCAGACAGATGGGTTTTCTTCAGAATCAAAGACATGTTTCCTTTATTAAGATCAGTATGGGAAAGCTCAGCTCGACCTCGGTATCTGTTATCCTGTGTTTCTGGCCTGTTTCGACCATAATAGGATTTCACGTCAATTTTTATGAGGATTTATCCAAGATCCACTGGACCTGCATTCTGGTGCTTTCTGGTATGCTTGAAGTTGTTAATTGACATGGCAGGAGCACTTCTTTTCCAAGGAAACCAACTATAGGGTTTTCGGGTGGAATGATCGCAAATTGACCTTTGGGGAATAAAAATAATAATCAAAAGTTCACCTTAAATTGACAACTACTGGCAGTGATTCCTCCGTGGAATTCTTTTTTGGGGGTGGGAAGATATGGCACCCATGTAAGAAGTGTAAGATTCTGCCCTCAGGCAGGAAAAACCAGCTTGCCAATAGTACATTTGAAAAGGATCTAGGGGTTTTAGTGGACCACAATCTGAACATGAGTCAACATTGTCATGCTGTAGCAAAAAAGCTATTGCTATTCTAGGTTGCATCAACTGAAATACAGTCATATCTCGGGTTACAGACACTTCAGGTTGCGTGTTTTCGGGTTGTACACTGCAACCCGGAAATACCGGAAAGGGTTACTTCCAGGTTTCGGCACTTGTGCATACGTAGAAGCGCCAAACCATGACCCGTGCATGCGCAAACGCAGTGTTGCGGGTTGTGAATGCTGCAGGTTGCAAACTTGCCTCCCACACGGATCACGTTCGCAACCCGAGCTTCCACTGTATAATGTTCTGAGGAAGAGAAGCAATAGCCCCACTCTATTCTGCAGAATACTGATGAACTTCAGGACAGTAAGAGTTGTTCAACAGTGGAACAGATTCCCTTGGAAAGTGGTGGACTCTCCTTTATTGGAGGTTTCTAAGCAGAGGTTGGATGTCCATGTGTCACTGATGTTTTAGGAGAGGTTCCTACATTGCAAGAGGTTGTACTAGATGACCTTTGGAGTCCCTTCCAACTCTTGGATTCTATGATTCTAAGAAGCATGTTTTGCTCAGCTGTAATTTGCACCAGTTATCTTCAACATTTTTCGACCCAGAACCTACTTTTAACCCAAACATGCATTTGGAGATTCATTTCTTAGTCTTTTATCACAGATTTGCATGGTGGGAGTACCTATTACTGGGTTCTGAGCCACCAGTTGAAGACCAGTGCTTTACACACAAGCATTACCTCAGAGCTGAACTGCTCACTGCAGTAAACCTTACAAAAGTAGCTTGCTTACCTGCAGTTAGCACATGGGAGATATGCAGAAAGATCAAGATGCAAACAGTTGTTGATGAGGAAGACATGGGTCAAAGATCTGAAGAATAGGACTATACCTGTACAATTGTTGGAAGAAAGAAATCAAATATAAAATTGTAAGATCCACTGGTCACCATTTATTAATTACTGTCAACAGTTCTGTCTACTTTATTTAAATAAATATAGGCATCTTTGTACATTAATCTTCATGTAATGTACTTTGGCTTTGTTAAAACTTTATTTATGCTATATATACCAAGAATGGTATACCCATATTTTCCGCTCTATAACATGCACCAGACCATAATACGCACGTAGTTTTTAGAGGAGGAAAACAAAAAATATATATTCTAAACGAAATAGTGGATATATGATTTTGTGGTTCATGCTGTGGCCACAGACATGTGATCTGACAGTGAGTTTGGAGTAGCCCAATGCAAAAATCCTGAGGATCCATGTGGATCCATGCTTTGTAACCATGGAGGAGGGAAGGAAGGGGAACCATGGATCCTCTGCTCACGACTGCAGCAGATCGCCCGCCCCCCGCAGGCATTCGCTCCATAACACGCACAGACATTTCCACTTTCTTTCTAGGAGGAAAAAAGTGAGTGTTATGGTGCAAAAAATACGGTATATTATGCAAATCTGTATCTTCTTTTGCAAGTGGGTCAGAGGGTCATATTCAAAACAGTGTTTTGTTTTGTTCTTCCTGGTAGCCAAGCTATTTTTGAAGTTTATTTTTCTATTATGCTGTATTTTTGTTATTCTGATTATCTTGTTTTGAACTTATTATATTTATATATTTATTGCATTTATTTCACACCACTTTTCAGTCAATGCAGTTGAGGTCGTTTACAATTTTAAAATAGTAGAACACAAATGTAGTGACAGAGACCTCTCAGGTTGACTGACAACTGATGGTATTTGCTCCTGGCCTCGGCTTCCTTTCCATCTCTCAGGGCAGATGGGACTTTAATAGCCCCAGAGAAGGTGAATGAGGGGCTGTCTCAGTAGTTTTCTCAGGCCACCTATCAGGAGCTGATTTGCTATGCTTCCTAGCCTGGGCATCCCAGTTTCTGATTTTCCTCAAGGAACACAGTAGCCCTAGGGACACTGGGGGAGGGGCTGCCTCAATGATTCTGTCAAGTCAATTGGGTAGTTTTGTCAGAAATCTGATATGGACTCTCTGGCCTGGGCTCACTTGCTTTTATGGATTAATATGGATAGTGATTTTTTGGTTATGCATTTGATCTGTACTGCTTTGAGCACAAAGTATGTGGGGAAATGGTACACAAATAAAGTGGCAACAATACTGGTAAGACTTTCTTCACTTTCCCCTAGAGTTGGAAGCAGCTTGAAAAGAAGATTGCTACTTATATAGTATACATTCAATCCAGCGTCCCCGTTTGTCTATTCTTCTACTCCTTCTCCACAAAAGAAATGTATTGCATATATACTGTAGTAAAAAAGATGAATTCAAAAGCCATCTACTCTGTCTCTATTGTAAGTGGATGGATGATGTTTTTCCCCACATCTTGTCAGCATTTCAGGAAATCGGATGCCCTGTTCCAATATTGTTAAACCACAATACTAAATTTTTAAAGTCACAGGTAAATAGTGTTGTGCAGCACCATCTATGTATGTCACACAGTTACTGCTGTTTCTGTCCTACACCACTCACTAATCCACTTTCCTCATGTAAATGTTGATACAGAGCTTTTCACAACACAACATATTGAGGTATAAGAAATATTCCCATAATGGGAAACTGCATCCTCTAAAGTGAAAAACAGGTTTTGTAGAAAGGGTCTAGAATTGGCTGGTAATACATATGCAGTGAAATGAATGACTATATAGGAGATCCATATTTAACTGAAGAGCTTGAAAAGCAAGACAAACCCTTCAAGTTGAGAGATGGTCAATGACATCCCAGACTCAGAAGACCAGGAACTTGGTGGAAAAAAGTCTGAGACGTCCTATGGCAGAGCTAACTCTGTGTGCCAAGGGATAAATATCACTAGCCAGTGTCAAATGGGAGGGGCAAAGAAGCAGCCATTTTATGTCCATTACAAATGAAAGAAGCAATGACGAGTATTCAGGCTTGTGTGGCTAGGAAGGATCTCTGCAGAAAGGAGAAAGTCACTTTCATTCTTCTTTCAAACACACACACATTTATATTTGTAAACTTACATTTTGCATGGAAGCCCCTGAAATTTATTATCATAAGTATATTTGCAAATGTGACTTGAAAGTTTCTACACGAAGATAAACTAATCCTATATATATCCTGAATGGAAGTAAAGGAAAAGCTTCTCTCCTTTCACCTGACCACCAATCCATCATTAAACAAACACATTCCAATAACTAAAAAATTAAATGTAATTATGGAAATATTTGTCTTACCTTGTAGCAAACTGTGAGATTTGTTCGTCAGTTCCTGTACCTTCCTCCCGCTTCAGGTGGACCTGTGTTACGTTAATTATTTACTTTGATTTTCCTGCTCTGCATCAAGATAAGTAACTGCCAACACTTTGCTCTATGGTTAATGGCCCTGTGACAGTCAGCACCTGCCTCCAAAGGATAAAGGAGTGTCCCAAGCAAACACTAAGCTCCACCGATACTTGTAGAGCTAATGCAGTGATGACAGGGCTTCATTTGAAAGGACAGTCCTATATGAACGGCTCTCTACCCCAAGTCTGGTTTAAAGATAACCTTAAGAAGGGAGAACAGAGACCTTGAAGTACTGCAGCAACAATTAGCCTCAGGACAACAGCCTGACAGTCACACAAGGCTCCTGGTCACAGACTTCCGTTCTATGATGAGCTGTGTTGAATTTCTATTTAAAATATAGCAATTATTTCTAAATTTGCATCCACATGTAATGTATAAATCAGAACATGCAAACTGATGCCATCTTTTCCTGATTTGTTTATGCTACTAACGTTAAAGGAGGAGATTCAACAGCATGAGCAGGCACACAGCTCATTCATTCTAAATCACGATAGACCAGGCAATCTGAATTAATGCAGTGAATGTGCAACTTAGCCCTGTTTATTGCCTTGCTTGCTACAAATCTATTTCTACTCAGCTATGGTTTCTTTCTTCTCAATAATTTGATGTGATTGGCATCCACATGGAAGAGTGCACTTTCAATGGTGAGGTCAAACTGTTGGAAAGTTACAGCGCCTGCTGTGGCTGTGGAAACTGATACCAGAGACACATGTTTTCCTACAATTGTGCTGCTGTAGAGGCTCCATGGTGTTTATTCTCTCTGTGCTCCTCCTAGTGGTTATTCCTCTTCTGGTCACTGCTGTAGATGTACAACCTGACTGTCTGTCTCCAGGCACTAAGGTCATCTGCAAGGGATTCCCATGTGACCGGGTTAATGTTGGCAGCCTTCATGACACATCTACAGACATTTGATGTACACAACAACATTTACTCTTAGATCCTGAGATTGAGAAATGGCATCTGTCAAGAGCACACAATGTCAAGTTCTCATGGGCTTTCTTGCTGGAGGTATGTCTCATTGTGCCACCACAATGAGCAGGTACAATGGACATGTGGGCACAGCCCAAGGTGTACTTGCTGTTTACAAGGTAGAACAGCACCTGAGCCCTTGAACTGGAAAGCGGTGGCTTTGCAGGATGGCTCTGCTGCCCCCAATGAGATCCACTGATGGATACCTCTTACAGTAGTCTCCTGCTGGTGGAGAAGCCTATTGGCTCTCTCCACTGGTTAGAATTCAGGGTCCAACATCTTCTGAAGGGTATCAGGTTTGAGAAGGTTGATTTAAATCCATATGACGGATTTAACTGTGCCACTCTCTTATAGTTTACCAGTATATTTAAATCTCTGCTTCTAAACACACACTGTCTTTTGTTGTGGTGTAAGACTTTCCAGTAACTCCCCCTTTCACTGTCCAGCTTTCAGACACATGGTTCTCAAAGTTTCCTTCAGAACTTTTATTTTCTTCATCCTTGCTCAATGGTAACATGACATGCAGCGCACCCAGTAACTAACAAGGCTTTCCGATAAACAGCTGGTAAAATCCAGATATGTTATGTGCTTATGTAAGATTTATTATGGGCAGCTGTAATATATATGTGACCTGTCGACTTGTTGGATATTGTTGGTGTGTGTGTGTATAAATATTACTAGAACCACTTTATATGAGATTAAGAATGGACTCATTTCCTACTCTGCTTGTTAAAGGATTATCACTGTTTTTGTATTTGAATTTCAAACTTCATGAGTCTACACAATTGAAAGTGAAACAGGGACACCCACATTTAAGGTAGTGGCTTCAGCGCACTTTGGGACCTCCCAGGTATGCAGAAGTGGGTATATTTTAGATAAAACATGAAATGAGAACTGAGACTATTCATTGGCTTCCAGGTCCATGAGGCTGTCAGTGGGGAAGCAGAAATCAGCCTCTTGAACCCCAAACACTATAAAGTATCCTTTAGGGAGAATTACAGTGGGATGACTACCAGAAACTGTTCACACATAAACAGCAGTAAAGCAGTTAGGCTGGGAGTGGGGAGGGGCTGTTGCAGTCTGTAACCCCTATCCCTGAACTGGCAAGTGAGTGTGAGCCCAAGTTTTGAGAATTAGGCCCTAAGTCACATGATCATGCTATATTGCATTTGGAATAAGTGCATACCTCTCCTTGCCCCATCATGTCCCTACCACCCCCTTTTTACACTTACACTGACTTATGTTTCACCAGTAGGGATTTATGCTGATATATATCTCCAGCTCAACCAGCACAGGGAACTTAACCAGCATTGCCATGGCTCAGCTGGGAAAATCCAAAAATAATAACAATAATAATTATAATATATTTATATGCCACCCATCTGACTGAGTTACCCCAGCCACTCTGGGTGGCTTCCAACAAATTAAAACACAACACGACATGAAACATTTAAAACATCCCTATACAGGGCTGCCTTCAAATGTCTTCTAAAAGTCAGATAGTTGTTTATTTCCTTGACATCCGATGGGAGGGTGTTGCACAGGGCA